AGAGAGAGAGAGAGAGAGAGAGAGAGAGAGAGAGAGAGAGAGAGAGAGAGAGAGAGAGAGAGTTTGCATGGGTCGGTTGCCTCTACCATTAATGCATCACCTGTCTTATTTGTTTTTGCGAGCGAAGCTGCAACAGGTCATCTCGTAAGGAATAAGGACCTCTATAGACCATCTGGATAACCACATGGAGGACTACTGAAGGTGGCTGTCATATGTCTAGCATCCACCTCCACAAAAAAAAAGAGGAAAAAAACTTAAAAAAGAAAAGGAAGTAGTGGAGTGAGGCCCTATATCTGATTGATTTGTCTTGTCGAACACACACCCGCTTACATGGCGCTCATGAAAGCCTTTGTTTGTTTGTTTTTTTCGAGCCTTCGATTTTTCTTTTTGTTTTGTTTTTGAGTAAGTTTTTTTGTTTGCCAAACATTTTCTGTTCATCTGATTGCATCTGGACTTGAACTTGGGTCTATATTTTTTAATAATTCACGGGTGTACCAACTGAACTAGGCCCATTGGTGCGCTCATGAAAGTCTAAGAAACAAGCGAAACAAAAGAAAGAACTTCTAGCATTCTGATGCGTTTGGAGTTCCCCTTGAACTATTAACTGATGCCTGATAATATTGTTGGATTGCTTGGGATTTGCACCAGTAACCTATACGCCCCTGGTGTCATTGAAATTCATTGGGAGATATGGGACCATAAGTGCAACCACGCGGCGTGCTGCACAGTGCGGTGCTGCACCTGCTGCCCTTGCACGGTACCTGCAGCAATTTATTTTTTTCACTCCCCCCCCCCCCCCCCCCCCCCCCCTGTTTTGTAGATACATAAGAGTGTACTACGGTACTGCTACCCAAGGAACGGATCCTGTCCAAGTACAGTCGTACCCATTTTTCTTTTTGTCCCATCGGGCATGAGAGATTTCCTCAATTTGGTCTTTGGGACATGAGTCTTGACCATTAGGCGGTGACATTACTCTTTCAACTTGTCCCCCTCCCCTCCCCCGCCCCCAACATCCCGCATCAAATTTTCCAAGGGGGTCCAGGTGACCACTGATTCAGGCCTGTGACTCCTCTCTTTTTCTTTTTTTTCCTTTCTCTTTTTTCCCTGGGCGCCTATTAGTATTTCCCCCTTTCGCGGCATAGATCCAGTGTGCTTGCTCCCCGTTCGTGCGTAATTCCCTGCACGACTTGCACTTGCAAGTATGGTTTGAGTTTTGAACTCATCACCTGTTTATTTGTATTAACCGTTCTATGTGTATACGATTCGGCCATAAGGGAGGTACATGGAGGGGGAGGTACATGACACTTCTTTCCCTGGATCCTGGATGGGATGCACCCTCATCCTGTACACATGGTTCCAGCTCCTTCTTAGAGTATACTCACACTACCGTCTTCACCCAAATAGAACGCCCGGTCATTATAGCTGTATTTGGCACAACTTTCAGCCAAGATACGGTGATAATTACTGTGCGTTCTATTCGGGTGAAGACGGTAGGCTCTCGAAATCACAGAATAGCAGAAAAATGAGCGGCCAGATCGAGTTCTTTGATTAGGACTGGATGTGGCTGGTGATTTTGCAACTCTGCGATTTTGAGTGCCTAGTGTGAGTCTGCCCTTATTCTGGGGAGGGGCGGTAGGGGCTGCTCCTATGAAATATGCTTTAAAAATTCAAAAAAGTTTGAAATTTGTATGATGAATCACATTTCCGATCTGTAAAATGAGGGTGTGTTGTATTCGGGGGAAGACGGTAGCATTTCTTGACCTTTAGTTTACTCAGCTTTGTCTTAGCTCATCAAGCCCAGGTAGGGGAAGTACAGAAAAAGGGGGTAACACGGGTAAGCTGTTTCCTTGTTTTTTTTTTTATTTTTATTTTTTTTTTATTTTAATTGTTCCTTATGGTTCTGGTTCCTTTCTATTCTGGTGATGGGTAGGGATGGTGCTTTTTTTTTTTTTTGTCCCTTTTCTTTTTTCTTTATGAGCCGCCCCTTATGGTTTCAGGTCCATTCTGTTTTGGGAACGGGCAGGGGCCACCATTCCTGTGATATATATCTATATATCTATATATCTATATGTATATATATATATTCCAAAATTACAAAAAATGTGTATGCTGATGTGTAAGATGTTGTTTGCCGCTCTTTAGGTCGTGGCAGCGGGTGCAAACCCCGTGCAAATCACAAGGGGGATCGACAAGACGATTGCTGCCCTTGTCAACGAACTGAAGGCAATGTCCAAGGAGGTTGAGGATAAGGAACTTGCTGATGTGGCGGCAGTCAGTGCCGGCAACAACTACGAGGTTGGCAACATGATTGCAGAAGCCATGGCAAAGGTTGGGCGAGCAGGAGTCATCACACTGGAGGAGGCTAGGAGTGTGGAGAACAACCTCTACGTCGTTGAGGGTATGCAGGTGAGAAGGCATATATGCATATATATACTAGCATAGCGCCTGCGGTGTGGGCAGTGCGGCCTATGCCCGCAACCAAAAAGTGGGAAACGACATGCCCACCGGGAAACAAAAAGAAAAGAAAAAACGAAACGACAAAACGACACAAAACAAAAAGAAAAGAAAAAACAAAAAGCGGGAAAAATAAGAAAAAAAAAGAGGAACGACACGCACACCACGAAACAAAAAGAAAAGCAAAACCGAAAAGCAGGAAACAACAGGCCAAAAACGAAAATGCTAAAAGAAAAAAAGGCCGCCTGCTTATCGACGGCAGCGGCTTCAAGATATTCCCTCACATCTACGCCCGCCGCCGCCCGGCCCCGTGGGCGCGCTCACTTGTTTAATGGCTCGCTGTGAACATTTTGGTACGCGGCGCCCCTCTGCACGCTTCCCCGCCCTGGATCGCCTTCATCCGCCGGCCCTCCTCAAAACTTCGGCGCGCAGCGGACCATTGACCTCCCCCCCCGTGGCCAATGCTGCTTAAGGGGTAGGATATACACACACGTGTATATGTATATATATGGTATACACGTGTATATGTATATATGTGATAACCCGTCAAAACACGAACTGAAACACAGAGCTGATTTCTGAGTTTTGCTCATAGACTGGATGGCCTACTGAGTTCCCCGCCTGCTAAGTCTATGTGTGTGTATGCTTGCTGGACTGCATGTCTGTCTGAGTGCTGGTTGGCTTGCGTGTGTGACCGTGCCTGCCTGAGTGCTGGTTGGTATGAGTGTGCGTGTGTGTGGCCCGCCAGGGCACTTGTTCGTTCATTGGGCCCCAGGGCCGGTACTTACCTGTGGCTGTGGCTTTGAAGGGTTGCAGCAGGGGAAAAAGCACTCAAGTAGCGGGTAGGCCAGTACCGCAACCGGTAGGGGGGTAAATATGCAGGTACAGGAGGCCGAGCATAAGAAGACGAAGTGGCATTTTTAGAGTCCGGTAGTGTAGGCTAGGTCTAGCGGGTACCAGTCTGAGTCTAGGCCCTGTAGGGGCAATATCAGAGTCTGCAATGATGTTCCCTCCA